ATTTCCTGTCCTTTGTTGCTCTTGATAATTTATTTTTTTTTTAGTTATATCACCTAATCCTTGTTTTGTCATCCATTTTCACAAGTTAGGTTTTTCTCTTCGATGTGCTTTCCCTTCAGGACGTTGGCAATCATGACTCTCCACAATTTCTTATTCTTTGTGGTTGTTAATTTTTGCACTTGTTTAATCTGATATCGCTAATTTGTAATTCGCAAGGGGTGGGGGCTGTTTCTTTTACTGACAACCATATATTCTGCCTTCTTACATTTGTTGTTTAGTCCCTTCTTCCCGCTTTCCTTTGTCACCTTCTGTAGGAGTTTCTGTAATTCCATTTTGTGTCTGCTTTCATCACTGTGTCATCTCCATATCTAATGCTGTTGAGGTGGTTGCCAATATTGAATTCTGGTAGGACTTCAAATTCTCTCACAAAAAATCCAGTGGAAGACACATAAATTGGAATCTCTAGACTTGTCTGGAAACCAGTCTAAGAGAAGAAAACGTCTGAATTTCTAAACCGTTAAAAGGGTAACGGGAATAACTTCATTATCTTTCCCAAGAATGCATGGCGAATCACTGGTAATAAAGAATAATATCTGCGAAGATGGCAACGTAAAACCATTCCGCTATCTTTTCCAAGAATGCGTGCTGATTCACAGATAATAAAAAAGGAATCTGTTGAAAACCCAAAGGGACATCACTCCACTATCTTTCTAAAGAGTGCATGTCAATTCATGGATAATAAAGAAAAGGAATCAGTTGAAAACGTAATGGGAAACTCTCCACTATATTTTCCCAGAACGAACAGCTATTGACAGATAAAGAAAAAGAATCTGTTGAAAAGGCAATGGGAAACCATTCCACTAACTGACTCCAGATTATTATTATTATTATTATTATTATTATTATTATTATTATAAGCGTTTTAGTTGTATCTAGAGTTGAGTAGCTTATTGTATGACAAAACAGATTTGTTGACAAATCGTGCACAGGAGAGAAAGTCGCACATTCTTTAAACGTTAAAATTTCCATGACATGTCATTATTTTGCCCGAAGTTGTTTCCTAGCCAAAGAGAAATCAATACCTCATTTGATCTGAACGGGGAAATAATTGTAAACAAAGGCGTGGTTAGCAGATACGGCCAAAAACTGTTACCTTTTAATTAGCAGATTTACAAAGGAACCTGACCCAGGAGCAATTAGAAAGAGTTTACGTGAAAAGATTGCCAAAATGTCGAAGACAGAATATAAATGATCAGGCGCATATATAGAAACATAAATACAGATGTGTCTTCTTTCATGCGACGTGTCCCTTCCGGACGTGGGCGATCATGACTCGCCACAACTTCCTATCTTTTGTAGCTCTTAGCAATGCTTTTTTCCTTTCTTTGTTCTATCGTCCATTTACAAAAAAAAAAAAATCTTTAGGTACGTTAACGCTGTTTTTCTTGTTAAATTTAGCTTGGTTACTGGCTGCTCGGTAAATGAATGTCAAATGTTTCCTTATAAGGAAACAGCTAATAATACTATTACCAAGCGCTAGATTGTATTGGGTTAGTAGTCGACAGTATTTTCAAAATATATTTACAGGGAGAAGTGGATAAGCGCGTCTTTAAATACACAGTGAACAAAATTATTGTAGATCGTCTGACACGACCTAAAGGGGTAGAAAGATTAATGCCTTTCCCAAGAATGAAAATCTATGAACGAAGCCTGTAGGTTGTTCAAAAACTGATACAGCAGCCCAATTCCACAACGGAATAAATAAATGGTAAGTATAAACTCGAAGATCCAGGTAGAGAAAGAGGGTCAAAATCACGAATTGCAGGTCCAATATCAAAAATCCCAATACACGTAAACGCTCAGGAATCCGATGCACAAGTCGACGGGTGAGGTAACAAAATAAAAACAATATATAACAATAATTGCGGCACAAAGCCAAAAGGGGAAGTTGAGTGAGGTTGGTCATCATCAACTGTCTTATACCTAACTAATCAGATTCACAACTCATCCAATCATTACAGTTAGTTCGAGATTTACTTGACGCCCCCACTGTGTCAGGTTGTAAGACAAAGTCGGCTTTTAACGAGGGGATCCGAATTGTTCCACTCGGGTCGCTGGTCTTAGCTGGTCTTAGCTGGTCATACTTTGTCTAAGCTAGTCATAGCCGGTCATATCACCGGTACGTAACAGATGTCAGAAACAGTGGAGGGAGCAAGGGAGGAGAAAATGCAACAGAAAATGGAACAGATACTATATCTGCAGCATCCATCCTGACGGGAAAAAAATTCTACTCCTTTTACGTCCCAAAAAAAAAAGAAAAGAAAAAAAAAACATGTAAAAATTCGCCGAAAACAATCGCAGTAATACAAACTTGGGAATCGAAAATTTTAAGATTGCAGTTTCGGATTCGAACTAGAATGTCTTTAATTTGCTCACGGAGTCGGCCTGATTCCAAAATGGAAAGATATGTTGGGCTACGGCCTCTAGGAGTGAAGTTGAAAAATTGTGACACACTGACATTCGCATTTATATAAATATATATATATATATGCACATATATATATATATATATATATATATATACATATATATATATATATATATATATATATATATATATATATATATATATATATATATATATATATATATATAGAGAGAGAGAGAGAGAGAATTGCAAATTAAAAAAATAATAATGTTTTTTATGAAAGTATTTATTTATAAATATATTTGATATTTCAGATTGACCTCAATCTTTCTTCCGAAATAACTGTTTGTTTACAAGTAGCGTCCGTCGCGAGACGCGGACGTCACGTGATATGGAACGCCACTGTGTTCGAATATTCCTAAGGTAAATCTAACTGTGATAATATTTTAGATGTTGTTTAAAAAAATAAAAAAATTTTTAACTCTATCTCAAAAAATGTTTAACTATTGAAATATTTATAAAGATTTAAAATACCCAAGTCTTTATTTAACCCTAGTTTATATGTATTTAATTTTAAAATCCAGTATTTTTCTTTTTCTCTGCGTGTGTATGTGGAACTGAAATCGGAATCTATCAATAAACATTTACAGTTTTCTAATGAGTGTCCTGATTGACTAAAATGTTCAGCTATGGGGGAATAAGGATTGTTTTGACGTATGGTTTGTTTATGGTTGTTGAAGCGAAATCTAAAATTATTTCCAGATTCACCAATATATCCACTATTAGGACATAAGGTGCAGAATAAATAGTAGATTATGTTATGGCTATCACAGGTGAGGTGAGGTGGGTGTATCTTGATATTGGTGTTGGGTACAGAAAATACATTATCTATTATTAAGTGTTTGCAAACTAAGCAACGAGGTCTGTTGCATAAATACTTTCATAAAAATCATTATTATTTTTTAGTTTGCATCTTTTTCTATATATACATATTAAGAAAGTATACGTGGCTTCTCATTATGCTATATATATATATATATATATATAAATATATATATATATATGTGTGTGTGTGTGTGTGTGTGTGTGTGTGTGTGTGTGTGTGTGTGAAATGTGTATGCATATAAATATAAATACGTATATATGCAATTTATTATATATATTATTTATATATTATATATACGCGGTACTTATTGGAGAGCGCTGAATATCAGTGATAGAACTAACATATTTAGTTGGATTGATGTGAGTTTGTGACCCTGGATTTCACGCTTTTGCGATCGTCAGACAAACTCAATAGCTGGAGGCATGAGAAGAGGATTCACCTAAGTGAATGTAATGGATTCGACTGGAATTCGAATATATATATATATATATATATATATATATATACTATTTACATTATTCGGACTATTTTCCTCAACTTTGTTGCCATGTTTATCACAACGTTTCAGCCGTTGTATGCTCCGGCCTTCTTCAGGTGGAAGAACCCTTCATTTCGCTCAGTAGACTGTTCTAGTTCCAAGTGCCATGTCTAATGGATGTCCGTTCGACATTCCAACCACTTGAAGAAGCGTACAACGGCCGAAACGTTGTCATAAACATGGCAACAAAGACGAGTACAATAGTCCGAATAATGTAAATAGTGTACATAATACCTCATCTCAGAAATATGGACAGATACTGAAGGCCCGAAACGTTGTAATAAATATGGCGACAAAGATGAGGACAATAGCCCGTATAATGTAAATAATGTACATAATACCTCATCTCAGAAACATAGACAGATACTGAAAGACCGAAACGTTGTAATAAATATGGCAACAAAGACGAGGACAATAGTCTGAATAATGTAAATAGTGTACATAATACCTCATCTCAGAAATATATATACATACATATATATATGCATACATATATATATATATATATATATATATATATATATATATATATATATATATGCGAGAGATTGAAATATTTGAATCGTATTCTTCTACTGTGATGATACGATTTTTTAAAGATACAAAAATAATGTTCACTGGAAAGAAAAGTGATGCATTTGGCAGATGTAGGTTTTAAAATTTTACTTTTTTTTAATGTCACCTCAACAACTAATTCTCACGAGATATCTGATCGAGTTTTCAGTTAAACAACGAAACATATTTTATAGAAGACTTTTGGAACATTTCTTCACTTTGCCAGCACAATGCGTATTTACGACAGGATGCATTCGTCCATAAGATTTTGTTAACACCTTTTCGATGCAGCAATCCGGCCATCTTTCTGGCTGCTTTTTGCACCAGCATTTGGTCAATCATGAACAAGATCACTGTCGGTGGAAGACGGGAGAAAATTCTCCTTTACTCTCGAAGTATTTTGTTTCTGAATTGAATTTTGGATGACGAATGCTCCATGTTAACGCGAGTGCCATAGCGGAAAATAAAGCAAATAAAACTGGGCCGCAGGCGGTTCAAACGAATTTCTTGTCTAGACAATAGTCAGATCGATATTATTAATCTATTTAACTATTTCTGATATGATTGGCTGTCTTTTTGCTTATCTGTTACAGTCTATTCATCTCTCTCTCTTCCTCTCTTTCTCTCTCTCTTTCTCTCTCTCTCTCTCTCTCTCTCTCTCTCTATCTATCTATCTATCTATCTAAGTTTCTTCATCTATCTATCTATCTATCTATCTATCTATCTATTTCAATCTTTTCATTATCTATCTATCTGTATCTCTATCTCTCTGTCTGTCTGCCTGTCTGTCCTTTTACTATCTATCTATCTATCTATCATTTCATTATCTATCTATCTATCTATCTATCTATCTATCTATTTCAATCTTTTCATTATCTATCTATCTGTCTATCTATCTCTCTGTCTGTCTGTCTGTCTGCCTGTCTGTCCTTTCACTATCTATCTATCTATCTATCTATCTATCTATCTATCTATCTATCATTTCATTATCTATCTATCTATCTATCATTATCTATCTATCTATCTATTTCAATCCTTTCATTATCTATCTATCTCTATCTCTCTGTATGTCTGTCTGCCTGTCTGTCCTTTCACATCTATCTATCTATCTATCTATCTATCTATCTATCTATCATTTCATTATCATTATCTATCTATCTATCTATCTATCTATCTATCTATCTATCTATCTCTCAATCCTTTCATTATCTATCTCTATATCTCTCTCTCTGTCTGTCTGTCCTTTCACTATCTATCTATCATCTATCTATCTATCTATCTATCTATCTATCTATCTATCTATCTATCTATCATTTCATTATCTATCTATCTATCTATCATTATCTATCTATCTATCTATTTCAATCCTTTCATTATCTATCTATCTCTCTATCTCTCTGTATGTCTGTCTGCCTGTCTGTCCTTTCACTATCTATCTATCTATCTATCTATCTATCTATCTATCTATCTATCTATCATTTCATTATCTATCTATCTATCTATCTATCTATCTATCTATCTATCTATCTCAATCCTTTCATTATCTATCTCTATATCTCTCTCTCTGTCTGTCTGTCCTTTCACTATCTATCTATCTATCTATCTATCTATCTATCTATCTATTTCAATCCTTTCATTATCTATCTATCTATCTATCTATCTATCTATCTATCTACTTCAATCCTTTCATTATCTATCTATCTATCTATCTATCTATCTATCTATCTATCTATCTATCTATCTATTTCAATCCTTTTAATATCTATCTATCTATCTATCTATCTATCTATCTATCTATCTATCTATCTATCTATCTATCTACTTCAATCCTTTCATTATCTATCTATCTATCTATCTATCTATATATCTATCTATCTATCTATCTATCTATATATCTATTTCAATCCTTTCATTATCTATCTATCTATCTATCTATCTATCTATCTATCTATCTATCTATCTATCTGCTTCATATTCCGTTTCTTTCTGTCTGTCTTCGTCTGAACTATTTTTCCCTTTATTTCTTTCGTCTTCCATTTCATACACCTCTGTCCCTCGTATACCGTCTTCATCTTCGCGTCAAGTTCCGTTTCCATTACGACTGCAGACATTTCTTTTACTTCCGAACTCCAAATTCTATCCTGAACTTTTTCCTTAATTCATATCACTTCCCTTTCTTCGTACCACCCACCCAGTCAGCCAATCAAATGAATCGTCTGTATTCGGAACATGACGTCGATTGCCCGGATGAGACGTGGTTATTGGAATTTCTATGCGGAGAATCATGCAGCGAAATAACGATGATCCTGTAGACCGGGCGATCAGGAAGACACCGAAAATTATAGAGTCGCAATTTTTTCGAATAATGGCATGGGGCCCGGGGTAGAGGGGAGGTGCTGAAATAGAAAATGTTGATCAGGGGTATCAAGTGCATTGAGGGTCACTAAGTGCATGCAACTGCGTTGATTTTCCTTGACAAGAAATAATTTATTCTAAGATTTCTTTTACTTTGTTAAAAATGCTTTATTTATTTTTAATTCTCATTATTTCTTTTAAATTTTTTTCTTTCGAATTTTCTTTCAGGCTTCTTTGCTCTTTTTCTTTCTTTCTTTCTTTCTTTCTTTCTTTCTTTCTTTCTTTCTTTACCCCTCTTTCGGCTATTTCTCCTGCCCTTCCTTCTTTCTTTCGTTTTCTGCTTTTCTTCTTTCAACGATATCTTTCACCATTTCTTTCTTTCTTTCTTTCTTTCTTTCTTTCTTTCTTTCTTTCTTTCTTTCTTTACCCCTCTTTCGGCTATTTCTCCTGCCCTTCCTTCTTTCTTTCGTTTTCTACTTTTCTTCTTTCAACTATATCTTTCACCATTTCTTTTTTTTTCTTTCTTTTCTTTCTTTCTTTCTTTCTTTCTTTACCCCTCTTTCGGCTATTTCTCCTGCCCTTCCTTCTTTCTTTCGTTTTCTACTTTTCTTCTTTCAACGATATCTTTCACCATTTCTTTCTTTCTTTCTTTCTTTCTTTCTTTCTTTCTTTCTTTCTTTCTTTACCCCTCTTTCGGCTATTTCTCCTGCCCTTCCTTCTTTCTTTCGTTTTCTACTTTTCTTCTTTCAACGATATCTTTTCCATTTCATTTCTTTCTTTCTTTCTTTCTTTCTTTCTTTCTTTCTTTACCCCTCTTTCGGCTATTTCTCCTGCCCTTCCTTCTTTCTTTCGTTTTCTACTTTTCTTCTTTCAACGATATCTTTCACCATTTCTTTCTTTCTTTCTTTCTTTCTTTTTTTCTTTACCCCTCTTTCGGCTATTTCTCCTGCCCTTCCTTCTTTATTTCGTTTTCTACTTTTCTTCTTTCAACGATATCTTTCACCATTTCTTTTCTTTCTTTCTTTCTTTTTCTTTTTCTTTTTCTTTCTTTCTTTCTTTACCCCTCTTTCGGATATTTCTCCTGCCCTTCCTTCTTTTCTTTCGTTTTCTACTTTTCTTCTTTCAACGATATCTTTCACCATTTCTTTTCTTTCTTTCTTTTTTTTCTTTCTTTCTTTCTTTCTTTCTTTCTTTCTTTTTTCTTTACCCTCTTTCGGATATTTCTCCTGCCCTTCCTTCTTTCTTTCGTTTTCTACTTTTCTTCTTTCAACGATATCTTTCACCATTTCTTTCTTTCTTTCTTTCTTTCTTTCTTTCTTTCTTTCTTTCTTTACCCCTCTTTCGGCTATTTCTCCTGCCCTTCCTTCTTTCTTTCGTTTTCTACTTTTCTTCTTTCAACGATATCTTTCACCATTTTCTTTCTTTCTTTTCTTTCTTTCTTTCTTTCTTTCTTTCTTTCTTTCTTTACCCCTCTTTCGGCTATTTCTCCTGCCTTCCTTCTTTCTTTCGTTTTTTTTTTCTTCTTTCAACGATATCTTTCACCATTTCTTTTCTTTCTTTTTTTTTCTTTCTTTCTTTCTTTCTTTTTTCTTTCTTTCTTTACCCCTCTTTCGGCTATTTCTCCTGCCCTTCCTTCTTTCTTTCGTTTTCTACTTTTCTTCTTTCAACGATATCTTTCACCATTTCTTTCTTTCTTTCTTTCTTTCTTTCTTTCTTTACCCCTCTTTCGGCTATTTCTCCTGCCCTTCCTTCTTTCTTTCGTTTTCTAATTTTCTTCTTTCAACTATATCTTTCACCATTTCTTTCTTTCTTTCTTTCTTTCTTTCTTTCTTTCTTTCTTTCTTCTTCTTCTTATTATTATTATCTTTTAGCTTCTTTCGTTCTTTCATTAAACTTCGGTTCTACTCCTTTTTTTTTCATTACTTTTCACTTGATATTTCTTTTTTATCATTCCTTTTAATTTTTTCTTCATTTCATTCCTTCATTTCTTTCTGCTTCTTTGCCTCTTATTTCTTTCATTATATATTTTTATTCTGAATTTACTTCTTTCTTTTATTCTTCGTTTTTGCTTTCTCCACTTATTTTCATCATCAATACTTCTTTTATTATTTTTCATCAGTAGTATTTTCTGTAGTCTTTTTATCGTTCCTTTAATACTTTCCTTTTTTCTGCCATTTTTTATTAATTTTTCTTCAATTCTTTCATCTTTCTTTCTTTCTGTCTGTCCGTTTTTCTTTTTTTTCTTTCTATAATCATTTTCTTTATTTTTCCTTTAATACTTTCCTTTTACTTCCTTTTTATGTTACTCTTTCTTCAATTCTTTCTTTCTCTCTTTCTTTCGTTTTTTCTTTCTTTCTTTCGATAATCTCTTTATCCTTCATTTAATGCTTTCCATTTTTTTTATTTCTTCTTACTTTCATGGCATAGTTTATTTATTTATTTATTTTGTCGCATCTCTTTCTTTCTTTAGCTTAAATAGTTCTCTTCCTTAATTCGGTTTGATTCTAATCAAATCTTTTTTTTTCATTTCCTTTCCTTCTTTTCCTTCATTTCCTTCTTTTTCATTTCCTTCTTTCTATAATTTTCTCCCAATTTTCTTCTTTCCCAGTTTTTTTTTTTTTTTGCCCTTTCTTCCTCATCAATCTAACACTTCATTTTCTTCCTCCTCCATATTCCTTCATTTCTTATGCTCTGTCTTTATATTATGTGATTTTTTTATTCTCTCATTTTCTGCCCTTACAGTGGGTATCATAATGAAGCACAATTCTCCAACATATTGACCCTGAAGCATTTAAGTACCCTGCTTCATCAATCTAGCCACTATTCAATCATGACGCCTACTGATCTATCAAAGACGCCATATTATTATTTTTTTTTTTAAATCCAGTATTTTCCCCAGTATTAACTGACGGATATTAAGTGAATGCAAGTCTTCCCCATAATCCAGCACCCTCCTCAGTATCCAAGGTGTTTTCAACAATGTCATGGTCTTAACTCTTTCCCTAAATTCTAACCTTGCAGTCGTTTTTTGCAGAATCTATCGTTGAGAATTTTTCCAACGCGCTACCATGGAAATTGCGCGGAAAAAACTACATTCCTTGGTTCCGTCTAACCTTAACGGCTAGGAACCGCCATGCTATTTATATTGTTTCAAGCCGCCCACATCTCCCTCCCCTGTATTCCATGGGTGATAAGTCAGTTCCACTCGAACAGGTTCTTCCTATGAACCACTGCTCTGTGGAACCGATTCCCAAGAGGACTTTTCCTTGATCACTATAAGCTTAATTTAAGTCTAGAGTTAACAGTTATCTCCCCCTGCTATCCATATAAACTTACTCTTAACGTAACCTTCTACTTTGAGTGGCCCCCGGGCTTTATACAGAGTGAAACTTACTGTAAAAAAAAAACCGTTTTGATGACTACTGCAAAGACTGTGACAATCATTTTCCACAACTTACTCAGTTTTGAAATTCTGCCAGATTTGTTTCTGTGATTTGCCAAAACAACCAATTCCTCTGTCTGCTTGGCACGTCTATACTTATTTATATATTAAATCTTGCATCAATAAAAAAAAGTGCGTATAAAAATAAAAAAAATAATCTAGAAGTATAAACAAATGCACTCTGACGAGTGGACGGAATGATTCCCGAAGAATCCGTCTACGAAACTCTGAAGTCAGGATGCTGAAGGAAATATCCATCATTTAAGTGACAAATCTATTACTTTTATTAATTGTTTGTTTGTATGCATGTATGTATGTATGTATGTATGTATGTATGTATCTATCCACACACACACACACACACACCATATATATATATATATATATATATATATATATATATATATGATAAAGTTAATTGGTAATCCGCATGGATAATTTCAGGGAGGCTATAAATCCTGAGTGCTCAATGTAGTAAACAGAGCAAGTAATAATTAATTAACAAATCGGGGACTTCAGAAAGCTATGTTAATATTTTACTCTGTACCCTGCCTCTCCCTCTTTATTCCTTTCTCTTGTCCGCTGAATGAGAGGTCAACACCACAACCATCATATCTCCTAGAGACATATACCTCCCTCCTCCCCTTTCATACTCTATGTAATTATCTTAAAACACAACTTCCACTAAACTTGTTTTTCATTTCATTTTTAGATTGAGTCCTGGAAGAATTTTTGAATTCATTCATTGTTTTGAAACCGTAAGGTCTGACGAAACGAAACTGAATTTTATCGGTCTCGCAAAAAATAAAATATTACCATCGCTTTCTGAAGTTTCCGATTTGTTAATTATATATATATATATATATATATACACACATATATATATATATATGTATATATATATATATATATATCAGGGAGAAAAATGAATTTGTAAACAGTGACTATTACTGCTGCTGTTGCAGGCCCCTTCGTTAGGACGAATCGAGTTCTCCCAGTCACTGGTGTGTTGATCTAAAAAATAAATACGTTTAAAGCCACCTTCATCCCTGTCTCCGACTGATAACAAATCGGGTTTCAATCCCGACTTCAAGCAATCGGTCGTCTAGCCACACTGAAGAGCTGGGATACAGCGAAATAGTCAGTCTATGAATGACTATATATATATATATATATATATATATATATATATATATATATATATATATATATATACATAAACTTTATGCAGACTCTTAGCATCAAGCTTAATCCATTATCGAGAAGCAATCTAAATAATACATACATACATACATATATATATATATAAAATGTGGGATGCGTGTGTGTGTGTGTGGATGTGTGTGTGTGTGTGTTTGTGTGTAACGAATGCACGACCGCAATTTTCGACGGATTTGCACCAAAATTTACATGCACATGCCCCAAGTTAGCCTGAAGGCCAAGACCGACATTGCATTTCCCAACTCCCATTGATAGTGGAAATAATCGATTTTTTCATGCTTCTACGGCAGTTTTCATGTAGTTTGCGGCCATTTTCTACTGGCCAGAGTGAGAGCCTATAGCTGGTTGCCACGAATAGGCAGGAAAATTCTATTGGCCAGCGTGAGAGCCAACAGCTGACTGACACGAATGTTAACTAGCATGCAAAAAATAACTGCATTCGTCACAAGTGGGAAAAATTTAAATCTGCTTGGCACTTTACCCAATTGGCTCATTCACTTGCTTAAACTCAACGTTGATTCTGATTCCGCAGAACTGGGTTGGGTGTGAAAAAGTATTTGTTGTTAACATTCTTTTTTCATTCGGTTTTTCTAGTTACGAATCCTTTTTTAAAGCTGATCGTTTTGTGTTCATTTTGTTTAGTTCTTTTTTCGTGACAGATTTAATGTTTAGTATAGAGTTTAGAAAAAATTCGCAGTGTGAGATAGGCAAGAAGTAAGGCATGTAGCAACATCAACACGGCAAAGGGCACTCCTTTAAAGGCAAGGAAGGGCAAAAATATTTTAAGTCACGTGATAGCGATTGCTGTATGAGTCGTACGATTTTTGAATCAAGCACGGGCAAAGCCGGGTCATGCTGCTAGTATATATATATATATATATATATATATATATATATAGTGTTTCACAAAAGTGAGTACACCCCTCACATTTCTTCAAATATTTAAGTATATCTCTTCATGGTACAACACTGACAAAATGACACTTTGACACAATGAAATGTACCCTGTCTGCTGAGGATGTCATGCCCAGAAGATTAAAGGCAGTTTTGGATAATGATGGTGGCCACACAAAATATTGACAGTTGACATGTTGTATGTTAATATTGACAACTTTTCCTAAGGGGTGTACTCACTTTTGTTGCCAGGGATTTAGCTTTTAATGGCTATATTTTGAGCTATTTTGAGGGGAAAAGAAATTAACTCTGTTATATATGCTGCAGACAGACTACTTTTCATTGTGTCAAAAGGTAATTTTTTCAGCGTTGTCCCATGAAGAGATATACTTAAATATTTGTTGAAATTTGACTAATGCATGGAATAATAATGCAACACAAAATGTACTTAGAACAAAATGTATTGAAACAAGAAAGTGTACACAATATTTACATATAGTCTTTTGTATATTCCTGGTAAGACCGTTCCTGGAGAATGTGTTGACTGAGTCGCAGTCGTGCAGAGTCTCTGGTTGAATCTCTTGATTCCTCCCTCTCTTCCCGGTACCAACCATATTTATATGGTCGGTACTCCACTATGCAAATTAGGTGGATCCTACCACAACAATATTTGAAGAAATCTGAGGGGTGTACTCACTTTTGTGATACACTGTATATAAACGTTGTGAAGATGAGGATAACAGGATCTCAGACATAGATTTCCTATTTGTTCTATTATTTTTACACACACACACACACACACACACACACACACATATATATATATATATATATATGGTGAAAGTTTTGTTGCTTGCACAGTTCCCAGTAGACCGCCTCCTCCACTAAGTTTTATCCAATTCTGTATTCTTCTATCATCGCTGATAATGATGCTCATTGTTTCATACATAATTCCATACGCTTCTTTGATTTTATATTTTTCATTCTTCGGGTATTGTTTTCAGCCGCAATTAAGAGCGGATCAATCATTTTTGGGCCGTCATATCCATATTGAATTAAGTTTTTTTTTTTATGTGTAAACGATATGTTTATGTCATTGTTTTTTCTTTCCACTTGTGTTTTTACTTATTCTTCTGGTCGTTACCGTATGTTCATTTTTACCCGACATTGATTGAACGAAGTCTTTGAAGAATAACGAAGAAGGATAGAATGTCTTAACAAGAATTTCTTTCCTCGTTGTTGACTCTGTTTGGTGTTCTCTTAGAAATCTTAGAATGCACAGTCCTCCATACTGACAATCCTGATTTTCAATTCAATTCTATTGCAAAATCATTCATAAGTGTTGTGGTAGGATCCACCTAATTTGCATAGTGGAGTACCGACCATATAAATATGGTTGGTACCGGGAAGAGTGAGGGAGGAATCAAGAGATTCAACCAGAGACTCTGCCCGACTGCGACTCAGTCAACACATTCTCCAG